ACCGAGAAGAATATTTTTTTATCGAAATGGCGAGCCAGAGCGGCAAAGTCTTCAATTCCACTATGTTTTTTTTGATTTACCGCGTATTGAACTCCGCGAAAGTATAAATTGACTTCATCCACGAAATAACAGGCCGGTTCTTCGGGAATTTTATACTTACCCCGCACATCCATATAATCCATTAAGAGCGTTTTATTCCCTTTTTTCTTATGTCAGAAATTAGTATAAGTATTATCTAACCGATTAACTAACCAGGAAAAAAGGAGGCTTTTTCCCTGGCCCAAAGAACCAAACACCACCGCTAAACTCACTTGTTCTTTGACTAACTTTTTAAACTGATATTGCTTTCACCAGATTAAAAGAAATTGGATTAAACTAATGGCTAAACCAATGATTAAGCCTCATTTTATTATTTTTTCTACCATTCTAGACAACTAATTATAAATCGCATCGTTTTTCAGACTAACCACACCAATTTGTAGAGGATAAAGCAAAAGATTAATAAGGCGATGATATAAACGGCGGTTTTACTAGCGTCCGTTTTTCGCACTTCCATTCCCTCATAAAGGATTTTTCCCACGAACTCTTTAATAAATTTGAGCGAGCCATTTTTAAATAAATCTGAGTAATTCATATTATTTTTTGCCAAAGGCTCAGCGAATTATTAAATAAGGAGTTAAGGCAATTAAAACTAATAACCAAAACCCAAATAGGGCGGCAATTAACCAGAGGATATCCTTGGCAAATTGTCCCTCAATTTTGGCTCCGTTCATTTTTTCGGCTAAGGATAAGAAGACTTGATAAATTCCGTTCATAATTCGACAATCGGCGGTGGTAAAATCTTATTTTTTAGGGTTATTTTCATCTTTATAAATAGTGGCAGTTTGTTCTAGTCATCCACTTTTGCCCCAAGTTTTTTCACTTTTGACCTCCCGTAAAAAACCACTATATCAGTGGGTTTCATTGGTGAATTCATTGGTAATTTTGAGGACAATTTTTTTGTATTCCTCATTGTTTTTTTCGTATTTAATTACATAAATTTGCATATTCTTTTAAAATTCTTGATTTTGCTTTTGATATTCGGTTCAATGTTGTTGAGATTTCGGACAGACATAACTTTCCGAGGGGTCTTCGCGAACTCGCAAACAACCTCAACAACCCGAACGATAAATTAATTGGTTCATGTTTTTTTAATATTTTTTTTCCGCTTCAACAATCTGCTTCGCTTCATAATCACGGAACTGCTTGGCCACACAGCCAAAACACATTCCTAAATTGGGGTTTCAACGCACTCAAAATTGTTTGGTTTCTTTTTCCTTTTCACAGTAGATACAAATTCTAATCATTTTTTTACTTTCTTTTTAACATGTTAATTATCACTCACAAACAAATTCCTAATCCGGCTCCTCAAAAAAATATCGCTTTGATAATTTCTCAATTTTTTTTAATTTTACTTCAAATATTTCCCATAACACTTTGCTAGCCTATTTTTTTTATTTTTAGAAGCCAGTAATCAATTTGCGAACCGTCTTAATTCCCATAAATACCAGGTAAAAACCGAAAGGGAGGAGTAAAATCGGGTGGGCTTGGATAAATCCAAAGACCCGAGGAACTACTCCCGGCGGGACCGCCGCATTATTACCTTGGGCCGCAGCTCCCGTTCGGAACATTAAGTCTCACGCATGACCAACCGCTTCTCAAACTTGTGCAATCATATTTTTTGTTTTGCCTTTCTATTTTTCGCATCTAGAATTGAAAGGGAGTAAGACGAACCACCTCGTTCCTTTTATCCCCGTTTAACGAGTGGGGGGGAAAGGAAGGAACGCCACCTCATACCTCGGATAAATTAATCCTGCGGATGAAACATCCTGAGAATGTTTTTCATTATCATAAGTTATTTTCTTTATTTACCTTAGGCTACTTCTTTTTCACCTGTGGAGGGAACCAAAATAACAAAAAAACCCTTAATAATCGGCATATCTTTTAATCGCTTCCTCGGTGGTTAATCCCCCCGAGTAATTAGCGGGCGAAATTTGGGTGCGAATTTCTTTTAAATAGATATGGTTATAAAGTAGTTCAGGGGGGATAGTGGCTTGTCATTCCGGACTATCAGCACTTTCGCCAATTTCTTCCAAGGGTTCATATTCATTTATCGCTTTATTCCAGGGCAATTTAGCCGCTTTGGCGAACTTGATATAGTCTTGGTCTTGGACTTGGTAATCGGGGAATTTAGTAAAGGTGGGGAGGTTGATTTTGGCTAAAGCCGGTAAAATATGGTTTTGATAATCCGCATAAGCCCTTTTTCCCTTAAATTCAAACTCTCAACGGATAATTAGTTCGGTGTGGTGGTCCTTGGTTATCGGACATTGGATTTTCCAGCCTTGGCCTTTTTGTCAAGTGCCTTCCTCGGAAGTATCGCAAGGTTTTCAGAACTGATTTTTTTTGACTTGACTGCCGGAAGAATAACGCAGACAAAGTTTTAAGAGGTCGGTGATTTTGCCGTTATTAGTTGGTCGGGGTTCTTGGGCTTTTAAGATTTGCCGAGCCTGCTTTTTTAGTCTTAAATCTTTTTGGTCGCCCTCAAAATAATCGCTGAACTCTTTTTCGACTTCTTCGGTGAAGCCGTAATCATTATTGATGAAGACTTGGGAAGAGATAAACGGTTTTTTTCTTTTTTGGGCGATATAAACTCTTTCGCCATCGTAGCCATAGATAACACGGAAGAATTTATAGATACCCATTCCCGGTAATAAGCCCACTTTTTCGGCTAATTCGGAATTGGCTCGCATTTGGAAGGATTTGGCTAAATACTTAATTAGGTAGAGAACCACCCCTTCGGCACTGCGGATGGGTTTGCCGTGGACTTTTAGGTGGGATACTCGTTTAATGTCAACTAATCCATAAGGTCAGATATCATGGGCGATATAGCCGCGATGGTCTCAGCAACCCGAAGGGGAACCAGTATCGGAGTATTGACCTAAACCGCACTTTTGGTGGGCGTATTTAGCGGGTAAGAAATCAGTCGAGAGCATGTGAAGGTGTCAATTGCGGAGACATTCATGCTTAATTTGGCAACGGCAAGCCGTTCCGTTATGTTGCTTTCAGGAGGAGCGTTTTTGCTTTTTCCCTTTTCAGTGGCAGGGAGTTTGGCATTTGTGTAATTCAGGGACGGCCACCCATTTAAAATTAGTCGGTTTTCAGATTTTTTGGATAGTGGAGATAGCCAAAGCAAATAAGTCATTTACCCCGTCGATATCACGGTTTAAGCGTTTTTTGGCAATTCTTTTTTCGGCTAAAAAGGAACTAGTGGAAACCGGAACAGTTTGATAAAAGTGAGGTTGGGAACAGTTAGCAAAAGGGCATTTTTGACCTTTAACCGTCCAAGAAGCAAAGGAAAATTTTAACTCTTTTTGAAAATTGTTAAAGGTTCAAGTGGAAAAGTATAAACCGCGGGCAAAATCCTCGGCGGTAAAATTCATGATAACGCTATTTTTGAAATTTCTTAAAGAAGCATAATAATGACTTTTCGATTTGAGGTTGGCGACTAAGTCGTAGATTGCTTTTTCTTTTTGGTGGTCGTGAAAAAGTGGAGCCGGTTTTTTACGAGAACCTTGTTTATAGATACCTAAGCAGACATTCCCAAAAGAGAGATGGGCTTTTTGGAGGGAAGAGCCAAAATCAGTGAGGGAGAAGTTGGCTAATTTACCGGAGGAGGGGGAGTCCGCAAAGAGATTAGTGAAGGGTTCGATATTAGAATTTTTGCGGCTAAAAGCAAATTCGTTTATTGTATCAAGATATTACTATTATTCATAAGGATTAAAAGAATTATTATAAAGAAATTTTATTAGTAGTTTTTTAAGTTGAATTTTAATGTTTTTATATAATTAATATTTTTTAGTTAGCAAGCAGTGCTAGTTAGTTCTTCTCTTTTTAATTGGATTTAGAAAGGGCGTTAACTATTTACTAAAACTATCTATATTTATGACTAATTCAGAAAAAAAACAGAGATAATTGAGGTCTGAACTGGTCTTAAAGAGAAAATAACTACTCTATTAAGTGATTTAGATAGTTTTAAGAGTAATCAAGAAGTAGTTATTGAGAGGTATGAGAAGAAGATGAGAGAGAAAAATGAACAAATTGCTAAACTCGAAAGCGGTTCGGCAGAGGTTTTTCTCCAAGCAGTTTTAAAAGAAATTAGATTAATGAAGTATTCCTGCTAGTGCTAGTGAAGAACAATTTAGGGGATTTTAAAATTGGCGGAGGATTATCGGGGGTTGAGAGGATTTGGTCTGGATTAAAAGTTAGGTTGATTAGAGAGGGGAGGTTTATGTTTTTTTTATTTAGGAGAAATTTCCACCTGCATTTGTAACTGCTCTTGCTGACATACTTGGTATTCACTTCTTAATTGTTCATAATTGCTTTCATTGAGGGTTTGCTCTGAGGTTAAGTTTTTAATATCTCTTAATCAGAGTAAGAAGTCACAATCATCAGCAGGGTTTAAGTCAGGAATTACACTAAATCAGTCTTTTAGTTCGGAGTAGGTGAAGTGTTGGATTCAAGTGTTTTTAATTTCTGAATTTTGAAAGAAAATATTAAGAGAGATCCAGTCATTAGTCGAGACTGGTTGGGCTTGAACCTGGATTTGGACTTGCTCTTGTTGATATTCTTGGAATTGTTCTCTCAATTCTTCTTTACTTAATTCATTTAATAGTTCAGTAGGAGTAATTTTTACTACATCTCTTAGCCAAGCATAGTATTTAGGTTCTTGGATAGCTTGTCCTTGTTCAATATAAGAAAGAGTGTTTATTCAGTCTTGGCACTGCTCAATAGTGAAGCCATAGTTAGTTCAGGATTTAATTAGATTGGGAGTGAAGTGAGGATGAATAACTATACAATCTGCTTGGCTTTGAATGCTTTCATCCATTTCTGCTTGATTTGGCTGACTCTCTTGAATTTGAAGTTTTTCAAAAAACTTGTTACTTTCTTTTATAGCTTGTAATAAGTAATCTGATTTTTTTGTTACCTCATTGATAGTATTGATTTTTTGCCTTGACATTCCTAAGCCATAAACACACATAGTAGCAAAGTGTTCGCAGTTGTTACCAAATAATTTATATTTACCTTTTCCATATCCGAATTTGACTGCTATCTCAATATGCTTCTGAATTAATTCAGGTCTTTTGAAAGGAATAAAAGGATGATGAATTTCTACTTCCTCAGAACTTTTTAAAAAATTTTCTCAATCATCTATTCGTGCTCTAAAGTCTTGTAAAGAATTTTCTCTTTTTTCTTTTGAGATATGTGCTACTTTCTTATTACCTAAATAAATTGCTGCATGTTGATAAAGACCACCTTTTCTATTTACTTTTATAATATCGTAAGGTTTGATTCAATTATTAGGATCATCGGTAGGAGTTAAAGTTGTTGTTTTTTTTACTATGTTTTTATAATCTTGCGAAAGAACTGGTAAATTAGGTGCATAAACATTATTATGTATTTCCGCAGCTGGGTAGTCACTATTTTCTAATGTACTTTTTAGATCTCGCACTATCTTTTTTCAATTTTCTCTAACTCCTGATATTTTTTTTACAGCCTTTATTAGTTTAACATCAGTCTTATTTTTTTCAAAGGTTGATTCGCAGACAGCAATCCACAAGCAATAGCCTTTCAATGTACTTTTTTTACTAATAATTATTGCACAATTGTCACTAAACCAGGTTTTAAAAAGACCTGAAGAAAATAAAGGAAGTTTCCCTTCATTTATCTCTTCCTTCCCCAGAATTTCATCCCCCAGAACTTCATCCACTGTTGCTAATTCTATTAATTCTTTTAATAACTTGAGATCTTTTTTTTTTATTTTTCTTTTGTAAATAATGCCCCAAATTATTCCCCCAGTCGAAGAAATGATTACTATGCCTACTACTGATACCCCCATAAGGAAATAATTAACAGGTGCTAAACCATAATAGGTGTAAGAACTATTGGAAGGTGTTGAATCAATAGTGGCATAAGAACCATTGAAAGTAGGAAAAGGAGCTTTTCATTGTAAGTAACAACCTGTGTGGGCATCATTATAAATAGCATTGTCAGCAAAAGCCGTTCGGTTATAACACGTTCAGCCATCATTATCCCAATTGCAACTTAATGCCTCTGATTCTGAGTAACTGACATTTGAGGGACAAGTTCAAAAGGCATACCTTTCGTCAATATTGGTTTTTAATATGCAACCTTTGTCGCAAATTCTGTAGTCATTATTGATAAGTGTACAAACAGTAGCGGCTTTTGTCAAGGAAATTTCCATATTATTAGAATCAATTTTGCAAGAACCAATTGAATTGAAATCAGTAATTAGTGTATCATTAATAATTCCTCCGCATGGCTCTTCTACACCGCCGCAAAATATCATTTGAGCAATTTTATTGCAATAAAAACTAAGACTAGGATAAAAACAAATTTTCGATGATTCGAGGAAGCACCGAGAATTATCACAACAAAGACTTAGCACCTTTCCATTATTTATATCTTTATCACTAACAAAAGGAAAGTTTAGTAGTGAATCATAGAAAGATGAACCTTTATAACGATCATGAATGAGACAATCATGAAAACCTTGACCTGATTCTACTCCATTAGTTGACAGTCACATCAAGAAAAATAAAACTGATATTTTTTTTCCAGCCCAAGTAGATGGGAGATTTGACTTCATATTTTTTAAATCTTTCCTTTCTTGTTCTTTCTTACAAGAATCAAAATCAAAACAAATACTCCAATTATTGTAATTCCTCAGTAAAGGCGAGTCCTATTACTAGATTTAGCACTATTATTAGTATTAGCATCTTGTTGTTTTTTTAATAACTCGGCTAACTGTTTCTTTTTTTTAGTTAAAAGAGCTTCTTCAGCCTTAGTTCGAGTGGACTTATTTTCTAAATCTTTGATTTCTCTTTTTAAGTTAGAGATTTGCGTAGTTATTGGTAAAGATTTAAATAATTGCTTTTCTTTTTCTTCTAACTCTTTTAATTTCTTTCTTTTAGATTCTAATTCGGCTTGGTTTTTAGCAGGATTAGATTCTAATTGGGTGATTTCAGACTGTAATTGGTTCATATTTGATTGAATTTGCTCTCTCTCTCTCTCTCTCTCTCTCTCTCTCTCTCTATGTGATATGTGTATTGATTGTTATTATTGATATTCTTTTTACTAAGAAATTCATTGAATTTATTTTCTAATTGATTATAGGTTTCCCGTAATTGTTCTTGACTAAAAAAGATTGTATTTCCGTATCATCCATTTCTCACTATTTGAAATTCTTTAGTCAAGGAAAATTCGTTTATATCAAGGGAAGAAAGACCATAATTTTTAAATCAGTTATTGTGGATATTATTTTCGTGTTGTTTTTCTAAAAGTTTTAAAAATTCAGGCGATTCTTGTTCTCAACAGTATTCACAAGAGTAAAATTTTGGGTCATTATCACAAGGGACAATTTTTTTATGGGGACATGAATCGATTATCGGTTTAAGAAGTTTTTCCTTTGAATAATTAACATTTTTCTTAGCATCATCTTTTGTTTTCGGTGAAGCATACTCATTGATTAGTCTTTCTAGTTCTTTAACACCCTCTTTAAGTTCATTATTAGTCAGTCCATTAATCTTATCTCTGAAACTCCAAATTCTTCATAAATCACTTATTCCTAAATCAGTAGTTTTCACCTTATTATTAAGTTCGTGCTTTAATTTTTTGAACTCATTTGAGTAATCATTGACTAGTTGACGTTGAGTTTGGTTTTCTTTTTGCTGTTTTTCGAAGTTTTTTGCTTTCTTGACTGAATTGCCACAATTAATACAAAGCACTTCCTTGCTGGTGTCTACTCCTGGTTTGTAGTTAGAACCTTGAGCGTAATCAATTACTCATTCTTTCTCAGCGATGTTTCTAGTTAATTTTCCACAATCGGAGCATTTACTGTTGGTAGATGTCCTTTTATAAAGTAGATATTTGTCCATGATAACAAGAAATTAATTTAAATGGATTATAGTTATAAATTAATTTTATATATAGATATCTGAGCAATTTTATAATTTTTCTACTTTTTTAGTTTTATTTACCCCTTTATAACCATAAGATAAATAATCACAATTAGCACGGCAGCAATTATTAATTTAGTAGTAAAGGAAGGTTGGAAACCCTTAGCAAAATTACTTCAATTGGCACTGCTGATAGCATTGCTGGCTTGACTTGTTCCGGTCGAAGTTGTGCTGGTCTGCTGACTTATTACAGTATTTATTTGGTTGTCTTTTTCATCTATTCTTTGATTTATCTTCCTCAATTCAGCTATCATAAATATTTCCTGATCCTTTAATGATTGTTCGGTTTCATGTGGTTCACGAAGTTTAGGGTTATTTATTTTGTCTCTTACTTCTTCTAAATTCTTTTCTAATTTTTTCTTTTCTTCTAGTTCTTTTTGACGGGCTGCTTCTAAGTCCTTTCGCATATTGGCTAATTCTTCAATGGATTTGTTTAGCAAGTTAAAGGCTTCGGCGGGGGCTTGTTGTGTTTGTTGGTTTCCCCCGCCGCCAAATAATTTTGGTGCACAACCTAATAAACTTAGTCCACCGGTAAAAGGAGCTCCTAAAAGTCCTCCGAAAAAAAGAATGTCTTCTGTAGTTATTGGCATAATTTTATTTGATATTTACTTGTTTTTTGATTTGATTTAATTGATTAGTTAATTGTTGGAGGGTCAGGGTATACTTTTCTATTTCTTGGGTTCAGTGGGTTAGGGTTGATTTAATTTCTTTGATTTTAGTTTCGATTAGTTGGATTTTTTCTTGTTGTTTTTGATTCATATTTTTACATGTTTAATTTGTTTCTGATTTCAGTTACTGAGGCTTGTAATTGTTGGATTTCTAGTTGGATAGTGGAACTAGTGACTGTTTGGAGGCTAGTACACATGTTATTGATAGCGGTTCCTACTTGTTGGAGTAAATCATTAAGTTCATCAATACGAATATCAACTGTGTCTTTAACTTCTTTCATCACATCTTCTAGTTTATCATCGCGAGGATTTTCTCATTTGCCATTAAAGTGGTGTAGTTGTCCGCTTTCTTTTAAATTTCAGAAGAATTCAAAAAATTCTCCTAATTGGATGCCTGGTTGAGCAGGCTTTTGTTCAGTAGCATTTTCCGGTTTTATTTCCGGTAAATCTTTTTGGGTTTCGGGATGGGCAATAAATTTCTTTCAGAAGGGTAGAAATAATTCGTGAAAGGATTTAATGGAGAATTTGTTGACAAACTCATTGTCTTCTTTTTTTAAAACAGATTTTTCAACTCAATGTCTAGGAAATTGGCTATAAATACCTGCTTTTTTAGCATGTTCATAAAAGTCCCCCAAGGTTCAACTGAAGTCTAGCGGATTACTTAAGCGTCCAGGGCGATAAACTGCTTTGTCAACCTCGTCTAAGTAGTTGGTCGCAAATATCCATAAGTTTTGGCTTTGCTTTTCTTTGTTAACTCCCTCCATGCATTCTTTAAGAAATCTTAAATAACTAGGGCTATGCTTAAGGGAATTTTCACTAATTTGATTAGCTTCATCGACAAACAGAATATAACGAACCTCACCATCCGAAGACCTAGTAAATCCAAAGTTATCTACTAAATTTCAGGTTATATCACTAATAGTGTAAACAAATTTTTGAAGAGGCAAAATTCCTGAATCCTGGTCAGAAAGGGTGGGAGTAAGCGAAGAACCTTTTATTTCAATCACCGGAAACCTATTAGTTCTCAAACATAACCTTTTAGTTATTGAGGTTTTTCCCGTGCCTGGTGCTCCATAAAAAAGAGCATTATTGTCTTTACCACTAGTTTGGTCGATTTGACCTCGAGCAGGATTAACTAAAACTTTCTTTTCTCATTCGAGGATTTTCTGATTAGTGAAGATCAAATTTTCTTCCTTATCAATAAAGTTGATGCCTGGTTTTATATTTTTTTCACCAGCGATTCCATCGACATACTTTTGCTTATTAGTTAATTTGTTTCAGCAGGCAGGTGGAAAGTGAATGGTATATTGGGCTCCAAAAGTGCAAGCATCAGGCTCTTTATTACCAAAGACTTTTTTTAGTTTGTTTCACCCTTCTTCATAATTGGTTTTGATAGTTCCATGTAATAATTCATCAGCTCAGTTGTGTGATTTTCTTTGTCAATGAAGTTTTTTATTTTTTGCCGCTTCTTCTGCTTTTCGTTTTTTTTCTTCTGTGTCTCTTTGGGTCTCTTCCAACAACTCTTGACCATAACGAATTTGCTCCACTTGTAATCACTGAATAGCCTTGTTTAAGTCTTCTTTTTTATTGGCTAAGGCTGATTGTTGAGTCTCAGTTCCATCTTTTCACTTTGAATAACTTTGCAATTTTGTCAAATGGCTACTGTATTCTTGAGACTTAATGTCCTTTAATTTGTTAATGTCAGTTTGGATTTCCATTTCTAATTTCTTTATTTCTTCTTGCGGTAAATAAACCAAAAAATAATATCCAGCCCCCATCAAGAGCAAAATAATCAGCAGTTGCTGTTGTTTTTTGTCTTCTTCATTCTCAGGTTTCAGTATTTGGGAGAGTTTCATTTGGTTTATTCTCTTAGTCTTTTTAAAAATTCTGCTCTTTTAAGGATTCTTTCTTCAACCAGTGCTTCTAACCTCTTTTTTTCAACATCAGTTAATTCCCTTGGCTCTGGTTTCTCTTTTTTAGTAAGATAGTAGACAGAGACAATTAGCAGAGTGGTCAGGGCAATTAGTAGTAAACCTCTTTGTCAGGGTTCTAGGTATTGTTCTAGTTGTTCGGTTGCTTCGCCAAGGGTTTTTTTAATATCGTTAGTAGTCATAATAGGAATATTCTGTTTTGTTTTTCTGATGCATGAAAAAAAAGAAAACTATTAGTCCAATACCAGTCACGATTAGGATTTGTTTAGTTTGTTGATTATTTTGGTCTCCCAAGTTTCCTCCTCCTCAGGGAGTTTGAGAAGACTTTTTTGGCTTATTTCCTCCACTTGGAGTGGTTGGATCTGTCGGTGTTTGATTAGAACCAGAACCATTAGAATTAGGAGTTGTATTAGGAGGAATTGGAGTATTAGGATCAGTTTTTCCTTCCATCATGCTAATTAGTTGATTAATTGACTGGGTATAATCATAAACATTGGTCTTATTTCAAGAATTATTATTAATTTCGCTTACCACTTCATCATGTTTTTGTTTGAGTTTTCTTACCGCAATAAGTATTTCTTCTTGTTCATCAGGGTCATCAGTCTCATTATACTTACGGTAAGCATCTTCTATTTCACCCTTGATTTTATTTTCTTCTAACTGTAAAGCCTCCAATCGCACCAGTTCTTCATAATTAAGTCCATTTATCTCATCCATTTGTCTTCTTAAATCACTAGTAAAAGCAGTGATATAAGGGCTTAAAAAACTAGCCGTATAATCCTCTCAAATAATACAAAGTCCAATATAATGGCCAACTTCGTTTTCAATAGTGGTTAAACTCATTTCATTAATCGCTTGATTACACTTAGCCAGTAAAGCATTTTTGTGAGATAAAAATTCTTCCGAACTACTACAATCTTTTAAACTGGCAATTGCTCCACTCATTTCGGCTACCTTATTAAAGGTTCCTACTAGTTTTTGAACATCTTCATCAAAACTGTGTCCCGCTCCTCAACCGCAACGTCCGCCTGAGAAATAACCAGCATCATTTTTGTATTTTCGGTTAAGTTTGCGACTACCTTCGGCTCGAGAGCGAAAAGCATTTTTGATAGCTTCATTATCATAACTTATTGCTCCAACTGTGCTACTGCCACCAGAGCCAATATTTCTATTTCTATGTATTACCATATTTCTCTAAATGTTAAATTTCTTTCTTTTCTAACCACAACTCCCTCACCCCCTTCAAACTCACCACTCCACCAGGAACCAGTAATCACCAATTTCCTAAACTCAATCTTGCTGGGCAAAAAAGACTACTAATCACATAATAATTAGCATAGTAAGCAATCATGGTCAGCCCTACCAGCATACCAATCATAACCAGCTTAGCCTTTAAAGAAGACGGTTTTCAATCCTCCGGTAAGTTTTCCCTAAAAGGACTTTTGTGGTTTTTTATTCTGATAATAGGTAAGCAAAAGGTAAGGGCTAAACTGCTAATTTTACTCCCATATTTTACCGGTTCTTTTTTAATTTCTAAATAGTTATTCATAGATGTTTATTTCCTAAGATTAATAAAGGGTTGGGGGAAGGGATAAAAAATTAGTGCTTAGGGTTGGGATCATATTAGTTTACTTATATTCATTTAATCTCCTTGCAGAAAAATGTCTAA